TAAAGAGGCAGATGTGATGGAAAGGAAATCTAGAAACAGGAAGAAGTCCTCAGGTAAACTTGTGAACTTCCTGTGAATTTGGATTGGGTCTGTACTATAGAGCAGTGAGTTCTGAAGGTAGGTAGGAAATGACAGAAGAAAACCTTGGAAGCAGCTGTGGTGTTCCATGTTTATGAATTCAGTACTGTGGAGAGCTGAGGTAGAACTATCACAAATTCAAGACGAGCCTGAGCTACATGGGAGTGTGAGCCCCTGTTTGTTACTTTTCTCATCACATTGACAAAATGTCCAATAGCATCACTTATTGTTATCCAATAAATAAAATAAATAAGTATATTGCACTGTTCATAGTTGAGAGGATTCAGCCTGTCAAGGCAGTGAGCATGATGGAACCTAGCAGTGCACATCACGGTGGGTGGGGAGACAGAGGAAGGGGAACTAGCCTCCTTCTTCTTTCACCTTATCTTCATCTTGACTTACCAGGCCAAGGCATGATAACAATGAGGGTAGGTCTTCCCTCCTCATTCAAATGGTTCAGCAAATGTCTTTACAGATATACCTTAGAGGAGTATCTCAACCTTCCAGATGCTTCTCAATCCACTGGAGTTGCTGTCTCAGCAAATTGAAAAGGGAGGAAAGAAGTAAAGAAAGATGGTTTACAGAGATAATTCCAGAAACCCTTTCACAGGACAACAAAGAACAGACAGACATAAAGTTAGGAAAATAATTTATCTCAGAGGGAGGGAAGCTCCCAATGGTGTTCTGTCAGCAGACAGTGGTGCCTCCAAAGGCAAGTGACTGAAGCTGTTTATGGGTGAGTCTAAAGAAAAGGTTATTAGTGTCAAAAAGAAAACAACATTTTTAAGCTTTTGTCTGTCTATCTTCCAGCCTTTCTAGTGAAGTGGTCAATGATTTATTTTTCTAAATAAATATTTAAATATTTTAATAATATTTTATTAACTGAAATACCTTAATAATTAACATATCTTAATTATTTTTCCAATGAAAAATTGTCTATGTATTAACTCCACTCTCCTTTCCTTACTCCACAACACCATTTCTTATACACTCACGAATGTCTCAAATATGGAAATAATTCTCCTTGTTCTTAATTGTGTAATATTTAGTGAAGCCCACCATCATTTTGATGCTACAAGCTGTCAGAGACTGTGAGAACTGAAAATGATGACATAAATCAATCATTT